ACAAGGCCGATTTTGACGCTCTACCCACCATTAGATGCGTCTTAATGGGCTCTACAAAAGTCTCTTAAGCCAGAAGAGTGATTAACTTAGTATTAAAAAAAGTTTTAGATGCATACACTTCACATTTAGAAGATCTACATTTTTATAAGTAATTTGAGTTACATGATTCTCTTGTTGACTGGTGGATCACCAATTAATAAAATTTGAATAATTTTAATTTAAAAAAATATTCAAAATTGTTCAAAATTGTTTTATATACAACACTAGTATAGATAAGTATATTAGTATACTATAAACCAATTTTTCAAAATTATACTATACAAATCTGCATGATTATAGAAACTAATACTTATATATATAATATCTGATCTGTATAGTATAAATTATAAATCTAGCCTATACTATATGAAATTATAGCAGATTAGTATAATATAGATAAGCAAATTAGTATAGTACAGACTAATTTTTAAAATTATATTATACAAATCTACAAAATTATAGAAACTAATACTTATATATATAATACTTGAAATTATAGCAGATTAGTATAGTATAGATGAGCAAATCAATATAATATTGACTAATTTTTAAAATTATACTATACAGATCTGCAAAATTATAAAACTAATACTTATATATATAGAAAACAATAAACTCTCACCTGCAAATCCTTGTATCAAAATTAAGCTAAAGACAAATAGTTAAAAAAACAGTAAAATACACTATCTAACAGTACTTCATAAACTAAAAGAAAAGACATATCAAAAAAAAACAACTAAAGTTTACTAGTACTTCTAGTTTGTCTATCAACTTGTTAAAGACATATAGCTAAAAAACTGCTTTTTAGAGAAAATTTTTCTCTACAAAATTGATTTTTGGGGAATCAGTTTTGGCCCTGTAATAGATCACTAAAAACAACAAACAATCACATGACGCATCTGTGATTAAAATAAACAAACAAATAGCAACACAACTACGAATCACGTACAAATAAGAATCACTACCACTTATAGAATATAGAAACCTTTTCTCCAAATCAAAAGAGGAGAAACTTGCACTCTATAGTAAACAAAAGCTAACAACGTTAAAACAAGACAAATTTGTTGCAGAGTACCTTAAAGCAAATAATGTCTGCCTTATTGCAATTATTTGCATAGTTATTGAAAGATATAAATAGGCAGAAAGTAAAGAGTTCAAGCATAAATCTATCACAGATGAGAAGAAAACCTTGCTAAGAAATATGGTTACTGCAAATGATACTCAAAAAAAATCTGACAGAAATAGCTCTATTCTGATAGACATTATCTTGGTTAAGCCAATCACCCTATCAAGCAACTATGGGAAAAGTATACCAATTAACACCAAAAATTCTGCTTGTAAAAGATATCTAACTAAACACGAAGAAACAAATATGTCAACTAACAATGAGATTGAGATTAGTCAAAGTATACTAATACAAAATGAAGTTGGCACTCTAGATTATGGTCTCGTTAAATCTCTCTCAACAAATAATCACAATAGTTCAAAGAGCAAAAACAGTAAAAAAGTTAAAAAGTACAAAGATATATTTAACTCAGCATGGGCACCCAAGAGAAATTTTACCTTAAAGCAATACATAAATGAATTCTCTTATTCTTTTACACTCTGGGATCTCTCAAGGGAATACAAGTATAGCAGAAATAAAAAAATTTCTTAAATATTTCTGTATAGTATCTATTCTCACTTGGCAATATAACTTTGCAAGCAAGGTAGCTTTTATTAAAATTACAACATTTGCTAAGAAATGGAAAATCCCATTAAGAGAAAATTAGGCAGTACATCTGGACCAAGACAAGACATATAGAGTTATACTAGGCAAATTTGATATCAGACTTCTAGAAGAGCGAAACAAATACAAAACTATTATATATAATATACCATCAATAGCATATGATAGCCTTTTACTTTATCAGCTAAAAAAGTACAGAGTACAAGCAGTATATACTAAATAATCGAAATAGCAACCAAAGCAGAAGAGTACAATTGTATTTTAAGTCTGAGCAAGATCTGTTACAAGCTCAGAAGTCAATGTTATACTACTTTAACACAAAATTAAAATAGAGATTACATAATAGAAAGACAAAAAACAGTAGCTGCATGAGTATACAACATTTGTATAATACTAAAAAAAGACCCCAAATAAACTCAAGTAGACTCATTTGACAGAATAAGTCAAAAAGCAAAAAAGCTAAAGAAAACTTCGAACAGGATATCAACATGTACAGAGATTTAAGACCAAGATTGACTAAGAAAAATCTAGCTCTAAACAAAGAAACCCTAGATCTTCAATCCAGGAGTTTAGTAAAGCCGTTTGAAGAGAGTATGAATAAACTGAAATGCAAGTTTATGGGAAAGAATATTCAATATATTAATGAGCAATGGAAGAGCAAAAGACCAAACACTGACCAAGAACCAAAAAGATTTGTAGAAGAAAGTAATAAAAAAAAATTAGACCAAGTCGACTTGTTGCAGGAAATTCTTAAAAGACTAGAATCGCTTGAAGAACATCAAAATGGTGGCAAAGGCTCCATGCACTCCTGAGAGGTGCCACAGGTATTACACCAATTATGAATACCCCGAATAGCAGCCAGGTTTAGACACAGCTAGTACCAACAAAAAAATCAGAACTAGCTAAGCAAATTAACATAGTAACACACAACATTAATGGGCTTAAAGTGCATAATCATAGAATAGAACTTCTGTTAAAATAGGCAAAGGAAAAAGAGTACAATTTAATTGGGGTCACAGAGACAAACCTGCAAGAGCGTGAAGCAAGGTTTGTGTTAAAGAACAATAGTAATTTCAAAAGAATATGGTCAATCAGCTCAAAATCTAAAAAGAAAGACTTTGGTGTTGGCCTCCTAGTTCAAGAGGATTTAGAAAAGCATATTGGCAGAATAGAGAAGCCAAACAAGTATATATTAATAGTATACTTTTATTTTAAGGTCTACAAGTTAGTAGTAATTCTGGTTTATATTCCTTTAAATAATATGGAGATGATAAAAAGATAGATACATTAGTTTGAGACAAAATAAGTAAAACACAAGATAAAGATCTCATAATTGTAATGGGAAACTTTAATCATATGGTAAATCCAGTATTAGACAAGTTATTGCAAGCGGAGAGCTATAGAAAACTAACATTGCATAAATGGCTTAAAGAATACAATTTCGTTGATATATACAGATCGCTCAATCCTTATGAAAAGAAGTTTATATGAAGCAATAATACAGTCATAACAAGAATAGATCAAATATGAGTATTCTGAGATATAGTTAAAATAACACAAAAAGCTAATATTGAGTGCATGTTAGGGATTACAAGGAGTAATTATAACTTAGCATTTACAAAAATTAAATGGTATCTGCCAACCTATTTAAGTAACCATCTAATCAAAAATATACCAAGTATGAAACAAAAAGTGTGGAAGCTAGATTTAGCCACAGAAGAAAATTAGAACAATTACTGAACAAGTCTTTGGAGTAGGCTAAACATTAAATGACTAAAAGTTCTCAAACAAGAAACATTACCTTTAGATTTATCAACACTAGAGAAATTAGAAGCAGATCTTGATGAATTGTAAGAGTCTATAGAGAGTGCAATTTTACTAGCAGGTTAACACAATCTATCAAACAAGATAGTAGATTTAGAGAGAAGAGTAAATCACAATGCCAAAAAAAGCAGATTTATAAAGGCAGCTTACTTGCTAGACAAGTTAATTAAAGAGACTAGAGTAGCAAACAATATTAAGTTACAGAAAAAAACCACAAAATGAAATAGTAGAATCAAGCAAATAAACTCATTAGCAGATAGCAACATCAAAGACATCAAAATATTAGAAGATAGTGCATAGCAGGCAGATATACTTATATGGTGAAAAGCAATCAAAGGCAAGTTAATAGCAAGTAGTGAGCAGGAGAAGAAAAAAGAAATACAAGCATATATTCAAAGAAGAGCAAAACAAATTATAAATAAGCAAAAGAAAATGCTAACCAGCCTTCTGAAATGGCCAGTGCACAAAGTAGTTCTGGATAGAGTACTATTACTAAATCAAGACCAGGAAATGTTATTAAATGATTCTGTAGAAGTTTTGGAAAAAGTGCAAGCCCACTTCCAAAAGCAATTCATAAGCAAAAAAAATAGCCATATAGAGGCTAAGAAACTTTGGTCTGATGAGTACCAATCCAAAAAAAGAATTCAAGAGTCTTGATATGATACGGTAATACAACCAATTACACTAAAGAAGTAGCAAGCAATGTTAAGAGAAAGTAAAGCCAACTCAGCCCCAGAAATATCAACAATCTCGTACTCTTTATTGAAACAAGCAGATACAAAATCTCAACAAGTTTTTAAGAACTTTGCAGAACTATGTAGTTAAATAGAAAACAATACAAATCTACTTTATACCAAAAAGGCAGGATTGAGAATTTAACCTAGATAGAGTTAGACCAATCGCATTAATAGAAGTATTTAGAAAATATATAACAAAGATATTAACAAAAAGACTAAGCAAAGTTATTAAAAAAAAAGATATTCTACATGGCCCCAACTTTGCAGAATTACCTGGCAACTCTACCGAAGAGCCAGCTCACATATTAAAGATACTTATCAAGGAAGCAGAAGAAAACAAGCAAGAAATCTGATTAATGTTTTAAGATATGAGAAAGGCATTCAATTCAGTAAACCTAAGCATGTTAGAAAGAGCCCTAAAGAGAATTAAAGTTCCAAACAGATGCTGCAAATTTATTCTAAACCTGTTTACAAACAGGAAGCTAAAGATTATAATGACATTTAGATTAATACAAAAAGTCTTGGCAGAAGAGGGTATTGATCAAGAAGAGGCTATTTCCCCTCTACTATGAAGAATCTTCTATAATCTTCTGTTAGACCAAATACAAAAAGACAAAGAGTTCAGATACAAAGTTGAAACTTCAAAGCAATTCGAAGAGCTGCTAGAGACCAGGAAACAAAAAGGTATAAGACAAGCAGTTCTCACCTATGCAGATAACATGATATAGATTGCTAGCTCCAAAGAACAGCTTAAGCAAATAATCCAGATTGCAAAACAGTTCTTTCAATTAAATAGTATAGAAATCAACAGTAACAAGTTCAAGTTAATTGCACTTAACTCAAAACTCCTAGTAAAAAAAAAACAAATAGAGTACAGTGGAGCCATAGTAGAAGCAATTAAAAAGCTTAGTAAAATCCACTTTCTAGACACACTACTAAAGAAATAAGCAAGATAAAAAAAAAAATAAAGTAGATTGTAGGCTTGTTTGCACATTAATAAGAAAGGAAGAAAACCACAGCAAGTTAACTAGCATATATAAACAATCAAGTGCTAATCCCAAAATTAGATTACATTCTACAAACAGTGGCTTCATCAGAAAAAAAATTACATTTAATTTACCAACCTTTTCTACATTTGATTAAAAGAAAGCTAGGTATTGCCTAGCAGTGCCAAATAGCATATTAGTACATGGAGATATGCTAGATATCAAAATGCTCACAGAGACAGTTTTAGCAAAACAGACCACATCTCTTTTCAAAAGACTAAATGGCTCTAGTACAATAGAGAGTCTAACCAAAGTGTGAATTAGGCAAAGAATTTTAAAAAACTGTATAATGCATAATATTTGGCAAGAGAGAGCTATTGAAACATGCTCAACATATAAGAACAATATCACATTAAATATAATTGAACAGTGTAAAGAAATAGATATAATATTTAGATCTGAAGAAGAGAACTGGTTTATCCAAGGGTCGGGATCTACAATTACAAGTTTGCTAGATACTAAACAAAAAAGTAGAAGTAGAAGAGCACAGACAAAATTAGGTATATATTATATCAATCAGTTGCTCGATCCTAGTGACAAGAACTTGTTAACATGGCAACAAGTTAAAAAAATTAGAGGTTTTAATAGTCATAGTAAGATTCCCTACTAGTATACAGCTATCGAAGAAGCAGTCCTGGAAAAAGCAGAAGAATGAAAAATAAAATCATAGTTCTGCTTACAGAAAACAAATAAAGAAGCTCTTGTTCCCAGACTGCTTAATATTTATCTAGACAAAAGAAAAAAAGATTGGGTCTTGTTCGAGGGAAAAAAGGATCAACTCTTATTTGGACAAATACAAAAAAAGAAACATAGCAAAATACTGGTTGAATATTGGGTAGAATCAGGCCTAACCAAAAGTGGTACTTTGGTAAAGTACTGCCAAGAATGTGAATATAACAAGAAGGGCAATGAGAACAACTATATGCTAGAACTAAAGCAAGACAAAATACTAGGAAGAGTAGAACACATATCAAAAAACAACAATAGCATATTCATTAAAATTGCACCAGAAACTTACAGATACCTCAAGAAGAAAAGTAACTTAGCAGAGAGCCAACTTATAAGTACAGAAAAGCTAGAGGCAGAAAGCATTAAGTATATAAAAAATCTTAATCTCCTAACAAATATCATAGCTTTATTACTTGATGGAACAAGATCTAACCTCAAACACAAAAGAAGTAAATACATATTCTATACAAATGGCTCGTAGTTACCAAATAAATATAATAAAAAAGAAAAAGATAGAATAGGTACAGGCTGGATTCAGGTCTCCATAGATGAAAAAGAAGTAGTGTTCGAAGGCAAAGTAAGAGTAAGCGATTGGCTCTCATCTACAAGACCAGAACTATTAGCGATATTATATGCACTAACAGTACCGACAGATATACTAGTCGAGATTAAATCAAATAGTACAGCAGCAATTTTGGCAATAAAGAGTGCACTCAGTGAAAAAAAGTTCAGTTTGACAAAATTACAGAGACAGTTCAATTTAAGCGAATCAAGCTAAAACTAGTGAAAATGAAAGCACACTCGGGTATAAGATGGAATGAGAAGGTGGATAGTATTGCAAAAGAGGGTGCCTTTCTTGATAAAACATGGAGATAGCCAAGTACACTCTGGCCACAGTGGAACTTTGATATAGCCTAGTCAAACAAGAGTATTGAATACCCACTATATAGCTTTATACTTAGAGTTAAAAGAAAACTTGTAGAAAGTGAATAGTACTTGTCAAAAAATCTTGAACTATTATAACAAATAGAAGCAGAAAATAATACAATGTGGTCCTTGTGCTGGAAAAGACTATTAGAACTTAGAGGGCAAAGATGCAAGTCACTAATAAGTAGTAATAAACTAGTTATTCGATTGAAAGGTCTCTTCTGAGTACTTCTTATACTGAGTATACTTTAGCAGTGCAAACCAGATATATATGTCTCAGCAAACTGTATATTGTACAAAGAAGATAAAATTGAAGATATAAATTATCTTTTTGAATGTGAAACTTTAGCAGAGGTTTGGGCAGAAATTGAAAAGCAGGCATTAGCAATAGCCTGGACCATACTCGAGAAGGAGACAAGATTTGAATATACACTTTCAGATCTCAAGGAAGTTGTATATGGCAATACACACCAAGCAAGACAAAACGCAAGAAAAAGATTTACTCTAGGCTTGGTTTGGCAAGCAGACTTTCTTCATTTATGCGAGATGAATAAGAAGCATAGCTCAAGTAGACAATGCTTCGAAGCACTGGCCTATACTATACAGGAGTGCTTCTACAGAGTAATATGAAGAGAAAGATATGAAAGATTCACAGCATGGGAAAAAAGTAAAGGAATAAGTAGAGTAGTCAAGCTAGAAAAGCGAGACAGAAAGGCCTCAAACGCATCAAAGAGAGATTTAAGAACAAAAGCTTTGGGAGAAATATACTCATCAAGCTTAAGTTTATATACTGAAGACAAGACAAACAAATACTTCTCAAACAAAAGATGCAAGATTATGGAAATTCTTCCAGTTAATGAAAAGGAAAAAGGAAGAAAGTTCTGGCTGTTAAGAGTTAAAGAGCAGATGAAGGAAGTTTATAAAATAGCAAAAGAGACAATATGGCAGCAGATTACAAATTCACTTCCCCTGAGGTGGTAGTTAAAATGAATATTAGAGTATATAGAATTTAATTTATAGGTAGCTAAGCACCTGGTTATAGCAGGCCTTTAAATATGGGTAGCACCATATGTGAGGTCAGTTGGCAAATATCAGTGTGATAACTATACTTGGGAGCATAGTGAACTTCTATTATGATTGGCTAATTTTTGTAGATCATCTCATTATACTAAAGTATTATTAAAGTAACGATTTTCTGTCATGAGAATCACAAGAATGGATTCGTAGCCATGAATACGAATTTGTCAAGGTTGTAGTATAAAAATTTAGAAACTATACTTTCTTCTCTACAAGACGTCAAAGTAATTTGATAATTGGTGAGGTAATTTAGAAGTTAGATGAGAGCTACTTTTTGTTTTTTTTTTTTTTTTTTTTTAAGCGATCCTGCCTTTATTCATGTGAACTGCTATAAAATTTATATACAATGTACTAAATTTTT